CCGGCTTGGCAGGAAGCGGGAGGACTCCACAAAGTCTCGCCCCCCCAAGATGGTATGCCAAAAGGAACATGATTGCAGTCGCATCTTCCGACACATTTATGTTTTGAAGGAGAATCGTTTTATGCGCTGAGAGGTCTGTCCCCCGAGGATCGGATAAAAATGAATAGTGCAATTGTGGAACTCCGAACCTGCTGGGCAAATTGTGAAACGGAGCTTCACGTTGCGGATTTGCAGGTGCTTCGGAAAACCCCGAGGAATCTCTAGACAAATCCTTATCCTACCCGGGCCGTGAGGTCGAGGAGGGATTTGCGTATGATTTCCGCTAATCTGCTCAGTTTGCGGAATAAATTGGACAAGATTCAGCTTCTTGCCTTCGAAAATCAACCTGACTTGATGGCTTTCTGTGAGGCATGACTGCTTCAGGACATCCTTTACTCGGAAATATATATCTCTGGATATCACTTCTCCCGGGCTAATAGACACGGAGTGAGATCCGGTGATGGCTTGAGTATCGAAGAGTGGACCTCAAAGCGCATTTACTTGGCGCTACTTGTTATCTAGATGGAGGATTTGAAGTTGTCTTGTGTCCTATTCATGATGGGTGCAGATCTTTCCTGAGCTGTGTCGCCCATAGATCTCTCTTGGCTTCAGAAGCTCTTTTGCTGGATTCAATTAAATCGCAGGCCAAAAATAAGGACTACTTAACTGTTGGTGGTTTCAATGTATCTGGCATCGAGCGTGACCTGCTTCATTGTGGTCTTCCATCTGACTCGTTTGATGCGCCTTTCTCTCAGACCGTTCTCTACTGTAACTTGCTTCGGCACCTTTGTTACCCACTGGTTTGTTCTCAGGCCACATGCTGCACATTCTTGATCTAGTGCTCACCCAGACACCCTCAGATGTCACTGACCTGGTTCTTATGCAACGTGTTGGAAAGAGTGATCACCGTGCTATTTCCTTTCAGTGGGCACGTCGATTTTCCATTCGTGATTAAAATGCTTTCCGGGGTAATGTTTGGCGGGCCGATCCACAGCATCTGCAGGAGACTGTTTCTAACATGGACCGGACCATCCCTCTTGTTTGGAGCCTTGACACCCTTTTACTCAAAAAACAGTGTCTCTAATCAACCGGGTTGTTCCCATTTCTGAAAGAGGTCCTCTTTGTATCGACAAAAAGTTGAGTTCTCTGTTGACCAAAAAACGTAAATTTTGGGACCGACGGTCGACTAGCTGAAATACAAAACGAATAGGAACCTTCGTATCCTGAATAAGCGTGAGAATCGCTTCATTTAGCTGTACAATCCAGGTGCTCCCCAAAATGCTCTACTGATATCTGAAAAGGGGCACAAAAGGTGGTAACGGCATTCCATTTATATAGTACAGTAAACACGTTGTCTTACTTCATGAGGATGCTGCGAAAGCGGATCTCTTAACTTAACGGTATTCATCCGTTTATTCAAATGAGACTCCGTTTTATGACGTCGCACTTTCCTGTTCAGCATTGTTGGATCAACTTGAGGTTAGTGCGGACGTTGTTACTCAGTTGTTTCTCCAGTTAGATCCTAACACCTCGCCCGGTCCTGATAGTCTGCACGCTTTGTTTCTCAAGACCGTAGCCAAGTACGCTGCGGCCTCTGCTTGTCATGTGTTTCGCTGCTCTATTGAAGCCGAACGCCTTCCATTAGCCTGGGAGCTGGGCATTGTCAAGCCAATAAATAAAGCAGGGAATCGGCCAGACGCAGCAAACTATTGACCCATTTGCTTGACATATTATTGTATAAATTTATGGAAAGGATTCTCAAGAAAGCTCATAGCCTTCGCTTAAAGGACCGGAATGTTATTTCTTCTGCTCAGCACGGCTTTCGTAACGCACGCTCATGAACCACCAATTTGGTTATTGCGAGAGAGAAATGGGCGAACTCACTAAATGCTGGCAAACGTTTGGACTTAATCTTTGTTGATTTCAGCAAAGCGTTTGACAAAGTTCCTTATGAATGGCTTTTACTCAAACTTCAAGGAATTACTGTCTCCGCGACGGCTTTCTCGTAGATCTCAGATTTCCTTTCAGACAGTTTTGTACGAGTTAAAGTCAATGAGACGTAAGCAACCCCCGTCCTTATGAGCAGTAGCGTCCCCCAGGGTTCTGTTCTTGGACCAGAGCTGTGCAAATTCTTGATAAGCGATCCTTCTTCAACTTCCCTGACCGAGTGTTTGATTTACGCTGACGATTTGAAGTTATGGATAGAAGTATCTATCTCTGAGGATGCTGACAGAGGCCAAACTACGCTCGTTTTGCTTCACAATTGGTCTATTAACTGAGAGTTGCCTATAAATCGAAATAAATTTGCTGTACTCCGTATTGGAGTCAATAAAGCATTCGGTGTTTACCACATTTGCGATTATTTGCTTAATAATGTGAAACAGGAAAGCGATGTTGGAATTATTGTCTCCACTGACCTCAAAACGATCCAAAATACTTTGGAGCGGGTTGCCACCGCCAACAGATTATCATGCTCTATTCGAAGAGCTTTCTCACGATTGACTCCAGAGAGCTTCAGACTCGTGTTTTTCTCCCATTTGCGTCCAATCCTCGAATATGGATTACCTGCAGTTCATCCGGTTACAAACCTTGAACATGGCTTGATTGAGAAAGTGCAGCGGCGCGGCTCTAAAACTGTTTTTGTGCTATGAAATCAACCATAACACATTCATCTTTATCAGTTGAATATGTTCTCCCTGGATTATCGTCGTCGCCGTGGCGATCTTATCTACGCCCGGCGTATTCGGCGGCGTGAGACGGGAATCGAGCTCCAAAGTTTCTTCCAGTTTAAAGCTGGGTGTTCGACCCGGGGTCACGTTGACTACCGGTTAAACATAGAAGACTCAGACTTTGTTCTGATTCTACCCTATCGACTCGTGTTGTAAACGATTGCCTGGTTCTGTCCTTAAAGCGCATACTGAATAATGATTTAAAGGACCGTTGTATATATGCTTATTTGGTTCTTATGCACCTGTGACAACCTAACCTGTTGGTTGCTGTTGCGCAACAACCTGCTGTGATCGGAAGGTGACGGAGCTGACAAACGTCCTTCTTTCTTCTCTCTACATTCAAATGATGCCAATAAGCTGAAACCAGCGAGTGCGTAGACTAAAATAACGAAGATGCACTGGACTGAGGGAAGGCGCACCACTGATAAACCCCAATAGGGTTAGCAGATCGACTGTGCTTTCCCGGTTTGGTACCTTACCTTTGCGGCTTGCAATGTAACTAAGACAAACAAATAAAAAGGAGTCTACTTGTGAGTTTTGACATCAGTTTGCTTTGTAAGAGGCACTGTGCCTCACAAAAATGACGATTGTTGACTAGAACCCAATCAAGTAGAACGATCCCGACTCCAGCACAGAGTGCCAACCTTAAAATCATCGTACTAGTATGCGGCCGATTCGTTGTCACCAGAAAGGAAAAGCTGAAACCTGGTGTGTGGGTGGATGGTGACGAAAACCGATAGACAGCGTTGGAATCCATAGATCGTAGCACAGTGACGCAGCAAACATCAGTTGCGAGTCTCCAAATTTTCTGCAAGTTCAGCTTGTTGTCCTATATGCATTAAAGTGAGCACATTGAAACATGGTAGCTTGAACCTAGTTCCAAGCTTCGGAAGTAACGATACGAGACTTGGCGAATGGTAATTCCCTGTGAAGCACTGTGTGGTTGCGCTGGCAGATGTTAAGAGGCAGAGTTGCTCGCTGTAGAGAAAGAAGACAAGTGGATGAATGACACGGAGAGAATAAGTAAATGGTTGACGTGTTGTTGTAGCATTGGCGTGATAACAGCAGGAAAAGACCCTCACATGATAGTGCATTTCCATGGTTTATCATTAGGCGAGATATTACCTGGTTGCCTAGACTGAAGTAAGTTGTTTTTCTTAAGGGACGACGACCTAAAGTTTTGGCCAAACGACATAGCACAAAAGTAGAAGGGCTAAACATCTGTCTGGCATCCGTTGGGAGTCCGTGACTAATCGCTCAGTGCATACAGCTTTCGGATGATGAGAATCCTTTTCCAAAGCCCACAAATCCCTGAATCAGAGGCGAAATCCGATGTTTAAATTACTTGCCGGTGTATATTATCTTCAGGAATTATAAAAGTGATTCTCCTACTTAGTGGCAAATCACAGAGTTTTTAAGCGGATAAACATCGTTTTTTACATCATGAACGCTTATCAATGTCCTGGTGTACTGCCGCCGAATCATTCGTTTGAACGAAAAGGTCCCGAATCCCACAGCTAGCACCACGGGAAGGTTGTTCTAAAAACCACCGTTACCAAATAATACCCCAGACAAATCTGTGTGGGAAGAGAGGACATTGTAGCGAAGGCTTCAGATCATGTTGAGAGATTAATGCAAACTTTCTTATCAACGGAAGTGTGGCGGAACGTTACGTGTGAGTATCGCATTTCAGAAGATTTTTTGGCTGACGCAGGAACATTTACTGCAAATGGTGCAAGGGCGTAGTGCACTGCATTCCAATTATGGCGCTGATTGCAGCAACATTGCTCAGTTAGACAAACGAAAGGTATGGATACGATGGTATGAAGGGTGATATGTTGGTTGACGATTGTCTGGTTATCGCATTATGGCTACTGTGACCACATTCATATCGTATCAGAATTAAGTAATATTCTTCCGGTGTTAGACGAGGATACTTGTATTGTGCTCATCAGACTTACGTTAGAAATTCAGTCATATCTCAAGCGAGGAGCAACCGATGTAAATGATTCTGGAATATTCAAATTCCAGTTGGCAAGCTTAATCTATTATTTCTATCTTTGTATTTTTTTGACCCTTATCTGGTATGTCGTTGGCAAGCAGTTTAACGTCAGGACTCCAGGCGCAATACAGACAACAAAACTGCAGCAGTTACAACTACTTCCTAGGTGAGAGACAAATTGCAAGTGGCCCCTCCACGCCGAAATTCCGGAACAAAGAAAGCCAACATTTGTCAAAAAGTTCTTCTTCATTCTTTCGCATGTTTAACTACGTTGACTGGAACAACAGCAAAGGAAATGGGTGTATCACTACAGTTGAGTGCTTCAACAGGAGGGATTGTAATCGTTGTTTTTTCGCTTTTTCAGTCAGCGACCTTCGGGGGTCACGTGATAGCGCCATGTCAGAGCTGTGTACAAAGTGGGATCAGTCAATGTCAGCATTCACGAGGAGTAGCCTCCGATACAGGAACTGCTATCTTCTGCGGCACATCTGAGGCAGCATCCTTGTTTGTTCGTGATGAAACACGCGTCGTGGTCTTGACCTGCGTCTCCTTCAATAAAGGTACTTCCGCCTCCGAATTGCGATGCCTCTTCTTCAGCTGCTGCTTCGCTTCCCGATCCTGCAGCCTTTTTTGTAACGATTTCCGTCGGAAAAACCCACTGGCATAGCAGCACACTCCTAACGCCATGAGCAGTAAACAACCGACCACCACACCGACAATAATGGGCCACAATGGGACCATATGGCGATGCTCCGGTTGTACTGCTCGAAACACGATGGACTGGGTCATTTCGTAGGATGGTGTCGGATCGGGGTAGTCAAACAGCACAACCGCCGGCATATTTCGCCGGATAGACTGTATTCTCTTGTAGTTCGTTATCAAAGGTGGCAATTCACCCCAGTTCTCCACGCGGAGACGGCTGACCAACTGTACGTCAGGCGTGTGCAGATTGAAGAAAGTCTCTGACCACAACCAACCAACCCACTCTAGTCGTACAGTGTCATGCTGGTCCAACCGATCTAGGCGACAATGAATGGCGGTGCATTTGACGGCTTCTCCCGGACCTGCAGTGGACCGTTGTAAATCATCCAATCTTTTCGCTGTGACCTTGTTGGGGCACCTCAGATTAATCCGCCCCCTTCGAGTGCGTTCGAACAAAGCCTGAGCAGAGGCTGAATGTTTCTGGTGGTCAGGTTCAATCCATTCATCCATGCGCGAAATCACGATATCAGCGCTCGAATGACGTTTGGAGCGATATAGTCTGTCTGTGCGCACATCCGGTTCAAGGTGATCTGCGAAACACATAAACATATGCAGACTCATCACAGAAAAAGGATTAGTTGTTCATAGCCTAACAATTTTGCATGAAAGTGAACTCATAAAACCGTAGTCCAACAGGAATTCAGGTACGCCTTGCATAATTTACGTACTACAGCCACAAATAACCAGACACTTAGGTCCCTATTTTTGTTCCATCCATTGTGTCATGCCTTTTCTGCAACCACTTCAACTTCTTTAGCCGATTTTGAACTCCACGGGCATAGCACATACAGTACGTCTGATGGAAGAGGGCCGATGAACGTTTTGCCACGACTTTCCGCGCTCAGCATTCAGAGCGAGGTTAGTCGACAGCTAGCGATCGCCGGACAGTGTCATGTGGCTGTCTTTAGTTGTCTCGCTCGAACTGCCGGCGTGCCGGCCTATACCTCATCAGTTTTACGCTTGCACTCAGCTGATGCCTGAACAAACCACTTGTATGAGGAGGATGCTATATGTCCTCAACACTAAGGTTAGAGTGAAATTAATGTGTCTGCACTCGCGCACCCACGCCATTCCGCTAAGCAGTTGATGGCGGGGACAACTATCGTAAATGACCGGCATTCACCATTAGCGAGCTGCGGTCGGTTCATGAACCGCCCTTCACATTCCGGAATGCGTTCATCGGCCCTCTTCCATCGGACGTACTGTACATCCTCTACCAGACAGCTGGTTTTCATTCATCATTCGAGCATAACCCATTTTTGCACCACGATTTTGCATGCCTGTACATGTTTAACGTTGCCCGGATGCAAATCACGTCCCCCTCCGCTTCCACTAAGGCGCCCAGCTTGCGACGCAACTCAACCCAAGGATGTGCTTAATTTTGCTTACAGCAAAATGGTGTGGCATCCTCATGGGTGCTACTGATATGCTTTTCCTACTGACTGTCCACATTGGTTAAGTGTGTGTCCGTCTACTGCTCAAACTGCAGTTGAATGCTCTAATCAATAAGTAATGATCGATGCGCGGTAGGAAATGCCGGCTGGAATATGGTTCGCTCTCCTCGGTCTGATGTGCTTCAATTTGCGCTACTTCGTCTACGATCCAGCTACTGAGCTACTGTTTTGCACTTGCTAGACAACAACAAATTGGAATATTTTACTGTTTCTTCCCAGCTACTCTCTAGCCAGATAGTCTAATCCGTAATCCAGAGATGCACCAGACCGCCGCCCACTGCTTCTCCGGATTAAAAGTTAGACTAACTGGTTAGAGAGTAGCTAGGACGATTCAGCACTCTTTAATCAAAAATCCTCCTACTATTTAGTAACTAAGTATTTCCTTCTATTACTCGGTTCAGCACACAACGCACATGAGTAGCAGTGCCTTGCTTAAGGGCAGGTTGTAACCGCTGATTCGTAACTCATTAGGCCTTGCAACGTAGCCATAATGAAGATATTTTCTTGCGGATTAGAAACACTAACATGTCTTACTGGAGCAAGTAAGAAACTGGTCTTCTCTGATCATCAGTGCTTACGGAGTATCAAACATTATCTTATGAGGGCACTGAGTCAGTGACAATGAAGTCTGCTAATTAGTACCTAGAAGATATACGTTGGACCTACAACTGAATGTTTACAGGATCAGAGAAGGTTACGCCGGCAGGGTCACGCAAATTGACCGGCTTCCACAGCATACATCCTGCTGTGTCGCTCCACCTAGTTGGACGAAACTGCGGGGTGACAGAAATACGTGAATGATTTAACTGGGTGATTTATTCAAGCTAGTAAGTGCTTTCTTGCTGGATGAGGTGCCTCTGGATGGTCCACATCAGGAGTTGGAGACCCCATGCTGCATGCTGCTATCAGAAACTCCTTGGCTTTCCCGCTCTCGGTCTTTGCCAGCTAGCTGCTATTAGTTCGTCCATAGTAACCTTACTAAATATTTTCCTAACCATTGTTGTTTTGTACACCAACCTCTTCATCATTGCTTAACATTTCTATCCTGGTTACATGAACCATGGTAACTGGCTCCACCTTATTTTAACGCCTAGATCGTGGATGTTTCACTCAACCGAGTCAAACCGAGCCAATCCGAATCACCCTGGCTCCCATACGCAAGTCTTTCTGTTTTTGCCTTTAAGGTGTAGTGGAAACCACCTGGGGGACAGGTATACTATTAGTGGAATTAAAAAACTTCTGGAAAGCATGCTGCTAACGAGGGTGGTAAAGTATAGAAAGCCAACGCACTTTTAACTATGTGACATAGAATCAGTAAACAAACCTCGCAACTGCTGTCACTCACCGTCTCTTTCAACGTCCAGTATGTGCAAGCCAAATGGGTCGAGAACGTCCTCTGGGACCAAGCAACTGCCACGCTCCGAGCCGTCGCTGGCGATGATTCGGGGCAAAACCGGTTGCCAAGCGAAGGCTGAAAGGGAGTTAGGAGTTGGGCAGGTTCGACTGTGAAAACAAAGCCAGGTGTTGAGTTGTTCGTTTGCAGCTAGTGAATCACGAACACTCTACGTTTGTTTTTCAGCCTTATGGGAATAAAATTTTGTTTATCCAAAAAAACAGACGCGTAACAACTGAGGCAGAGAAGAATTCAGGCTACAGCCCAGGCAGAAATTTGTTTACAGGCAAAGTCCAAAAGGAACTTTGATATATTTCCCAACCTATATTGCTTACTTGAGGACACGATATCCCTGTTCCGTAATTATTCTGTTCATTTTACGTTGCTTTTACTCTGTGTGCTACAATCGGTTACCATATTGAACATTTATTCCTTTCACTCTCGATCACTGAAATATCCTTGACATTTCAAGGTCATCCATATTATTCTGTTACTGTGACACTGCCCGAATTCCCGCACGCTGCCGCATGCTTTACAAATTCCGCCATCTTGCATTACGATTGTAAAACCTATTGCTAAGTCATGTATTGCAGTTGATTTGCTTTATAGACCCACGGTTATAGGATAATTCGTTTTATTTTTCTGCGCAGACCATGCGTTAAGTCTAGGTTTACTGGTTCGTAGTTTCTACTTTAATTTTTGCACGACGTACTTAGTTTAGGCTCAGGATCGTTGGTACAGTCAGCACAGAAAACGTGTCACTTCTTTTTGTCTATGGAACGACGCATCCATGTATGCACATATTACCTTGAATTCAAACCATGGTTTCAACGAACGCTCAAATCAAATACATTAGGTTAATGCCTGAAATCTGTCCTAAAGTCATCCCGGAGAATATATGATTGGCGTAAATCTTCCGGAAAACTGCACTCCATCCTCACTGTTCGGAATTTTCAGGTCAACGCGTCTACAGTTGAGACAGGAGTTCTGAAAATAGCGCATTCTGTCAGACGTGCTTGTTATTGCTCTTTAGGTATCATCCCAGCTAAGTACACCTAGATTGTGGAAACTAGAAAAAAGTGGCCCTGAATTGCAGCACGGAAATCGAACAAAGTCTAACCTTCGGCCATCTCACATGCTTTTCCCGCGATTGAAACGACATGGAGTTCTTTCAAAGTAAATCGTGATCTGAATAAACACCGCACGTCGTCAACCATTAGAACAATGGGCATCAGAAGCGACTAGAAGACAAATAATTACTTCTTAAAACAGGTATTGCCTGCAAAGCTGGAAGACCTTGCAATAAACGAGCTGAGAGTGTACCTCGGATCATAGTGTTTGGAGGCTGTCACCCTAATCACTAAGCCATTGAGTTCCGCGGGGATTATGGGGCGAGTTCAACTCTCAGCTCGGTTATCCCTGCCTGATGAGTCCAGACAAGGACAAAATCGTCGGTCATGGAGTGTAGTAATGGGAGAGAGCCATACGGAAACCCTCCCCTTCGGTGGCTGTCTCAGTGCTCGTATTGACAGAGCCTGATTTCAACTTCAACCGGGCCGCCATTGAGATTTCGTTACGCGGGTGTTCCAAAACCCGAAAGGATGATGCAAAGTCTTCAAACATCAATGCCTCAGTCTGGGAGTAAGGGTGCGATTCCGCTATCTAGACTTGGAAAGAGCCGATAATCACTGAGAGTGAGAAATGCAGAGAAACTGTTTCAACGATATTCCCAGTGAACCACCTCACCGGGGCTCACTTCAAAGGGAAGCAAGTTCCCAATTTTGATGTGATGCCGCACGCCATGAGCACATCTGATACTGCAATGATCTCCAAGGAGGTAGATAAAAAGAAAGTATACTTCTTCTTTTCAACTGCCCATCTCTTTAGCGCACTGTAAGAAATGGCGACTTTGTCTACAACAAATATAAGCTACTCCGTCACATAAGTTTAGCAAAATGTTCATGCGTAATTTGTACTCACAGTGACAAAACTATACCCGGAGATTGCATCGTCGTCAGAAATATGAACTACTAGAAATAGAGATGGGATCACCCAGTCCAATTCCGTGTGCACAAACCGATGCAATCAAACAGCCATTCTCCATAATTTTAAATGTTAACATGCCTCCCAATTCGCTGGCGTTTACAGCATAACCTCTGAAGTTGTTCACCTCTATGTCTTCACCAACTCTCTATGTTGACTGATTTTCCGTATCTTGAACGTTCACCATGTAAAGCCTATGGAAACAAACTTCCGTATGTTGACCATGTGGGCTATGTGTTGCAAGGCTGTCTTTCGTCTCTACTCTATTCACTGGCAACATTCAAGTAGAATGGGAACCGGAACTTAAGCTGACATCGCAAGAAATTATCGCAGAAGGACAGAGTTTGCTCAGCTTGAATCCTGATACAAATGGGATCGCAAATTCGGAAGACAGGGAAGAGCAACACTTCTGCCACACTGCCAATTCAAAATCTGAGGTGCCCATCAGACCTGAGGATGTGATGGTAGAAATCAATGTCAGTCCTATTACGCAGATGAATAGATGTCACAAAGCAAGGCTCCAACATGGTCCAGAAGGCTGTAGAATCACCAGAGATGTCCTGAACCTCAAGCCAGTCACTAAACCAGTATCCAGAGCAAAACGCCTTGTGCCAAGCAGGAAAAAAAAGCATTACTGTTATCCTGCGAGGGAAAAGCGGACAGACAGCGTGCGGCATTTCAAAATTGGGTACACTGTGTACGCAAGGGACCTTCGAGGATCAAGGGGGTGGTTGACAGGAAGAGTGATCTGCAGAAACGTTTGGGTCATCTACAAGCTAATGGTGGGAAAGGAGAAATGGGTCAGGCATGCCAATCAGCTGAGGCCGAAACACGGCAAGACTCAAAGCCCCCAACAGCCTTCATACCTACCATGGGACATCCTGCTAGACACGTTTTGTTTGGAAGATGAAGCTGAGCAGCTGCTTGTATCACAAGGTAAGGCGAAAGCAGCAGCTGAGACACAATGTTGGCCGACCAGAAAGTAGAGACGATCACCATGACTGCAAGTTGATTCCAAAGCGAAAACTTATGAACCAAGTCGAGTTCATACTGTACGCTGGCATACTCAATTCGAAAAGGGAGGTAATAGGTGGTCACAAGGGATGGGTGCTACGACACGTTTTCGGGACGCCAGCCTGGCATGTCGTAGACGATGCGGAAAGATGACCCAATCAGTCCGCAATTCATGACACAGGTTGCAGCGTCATCCAGAACAGCTGAGGGAGCCAATTCATCATCGCCGCACGGGTTGTTATGGTGCGAAGGTGATCGTACCAAAGCCAAACTTGAAGGCCACTACCAGGGTCGAATCTGTTCAGTAAAGGGGTGTGAATCATCTCGGTGACATACAGGCGAAGTAAGAGCATGTGACCAATAAAAGTAACCGTGATCTGTTCCTAATACACTTCGGTCTAGCAGGCTCGGTGTTTTGTTTTCCCCGGCTGGTTGGCAGCACAGAGAGTAGAGGGGAAGAGGGCTATAACAGACATTATTAGTTCAATCTCTGTAAGTTGATCATGGGAAGGTTTACTGTGCAATAGTCGCTGAATTACTTGTCGGTTCAAATCATGGCGTATATGTTGCTGAATTTTGCAATGTGTGAAATTCTCCAGACCCACAATCACTGCGCTTTAAGGCTCCGCATATGTTTGATGATACAACATGTTCCCTATCTACCTGGGTGCGCGTGCATTGTTGTCCCGCCCCTCAGGGCTTGCGCGCATGGGTATTTACACTGTGCAATGTGTCCCCACAAATCCGTGACCACGGATTGACCCTCACCGTTTTACGTGAACCCTGTGCTCACCCGCCTACATATACAAGCATGCGTCATACCTACCCTTTGGAACATGTGCCCACTCATTACACAGACCGCAATCAATAGCTCGAAAGGTTTTCTGCTGGCAGATTTACACGTTTTTGAGGATTGTCCTGTTCTCCGACCCGGGCATTTCTGTTGCAGACGTTTCGTTACCAAACTAGGCAACATCTTCAGTGTGACTATTCAGTCCTGATTGGCGGAGTCTCACAAAGTAATGCCGAATCCGAATGACTACCCGCTTTAAACTAACCTGTTCAGTTATGGCGGTGATCACAACAACAAGGTAAGGTGGACCTTTTTCGAAAAGTGATTTAACTTTAAGGAAGCTACCCCTTTGGATTTAGTATACTCCTGTAATATTTAACTTTGTTTGCGAATATATAAGTACTCATCCAACTTATTCGAAACAGGATGTTCGTGAGAATAAAGTTTATACTATACTACGCACGACAGAAAAATAAGGTACGCCATGTTTTTGTATACTTATCTTCTGTTCAGTTTAATAACTATGGTCCGAGCACCGAAATGCGGTGGACCTAGTTGCCACGAATCCCATCTCAAGAATAACAATGCATGATAACGGCAAGATGGTGCGGCTGAATGCAAATAGAATGTAAATAAAAAGGCAAGCTAGAATGGAGTGCGTTAAACTAATCAGAATGAAACGAAAACTAACAAGCAGATGCAAGAAACCAAATGCATTAACGCCACTGACTGCCTGACTGTGCCATTTCTGAAACGGTCTCCTACTGTTGGTGTGGACCATACAGAATGTTCCATCCACGAAGACGGCACGCACCAGCCTGAGCAAATTTCTCAGTCAATTTCTACATGCCTATGTGCCATGTCGTGGACCCACCACCTGGCGGTTCAACCCAACTTGATGCATCCGCGGCGTATAATGTGCGTCGGGGAAGCCGGTCAAAGGGCATATGGAGGGCATGGCCTAGCCAACGTAAGGGATTAATATTCAGTACACTCAAGTGAGACACCAGAAGGCTTTTTGCTGAAAACCAACTGGTGGGTCTCAGAATTGCTCCCCGGTTTTCCCACCAGAAATGGATTTTAAACAGGACCTCTATAGGTTGACCACATCGGTCCAGTCCCTTGAGCGGTCACGTTTTCGTGGTTTTACGGTACATTGTTTAACCAATAAGCTACCGACAAATCTTAGGTGTTGTCTGTTCGCAATACCGCACCCCACGACCGGATT